TGGCACTTCCTTAAACAATATAAACAAAATAATGAGGATGTTGGAACATATGCACTCCAGATTCCAACAATGTTTTTTTTATCCCTAAAACTTTCCTTAAAACTTACAAATGAGACAAGTCTAGCAAAATACAACTAAGAAAAAGGCAAAAGTGAATCATGATTTCTAAAATGTCTACTTCTAGCAACATCACTGGTTAAAATATCTGACAAACAAGGAGAAAGAAGGAAAAAGGGGGGAAAGAAGAAATTTAGAGAAAAGGGGGATGTAGAGGAAAAAGACAGAAAGGAAAGGAATTAAAAAATATATCTTTAAGGAAAGGATAAATAGAAATGGGTGAAAGAGAGAAGACTGAGGAGGGAAAGAAAGAATGCAATACAAAAACAGAGATAAAGGGAGAAGGAAGGTGAAGCAGGGAACAAACATGAGGAGAGGGATAGAACAGAATAAGAGGGAAGTTCAAGACAGAGGAACAGAAGTAAGAGGATAATGGAGGAGAGACAAACAGAACAAAAAGACAAGGGATAAACAAGAAGAGAGAAGAAAGTGCAAGCAATTAAGAAGTGTGGAAGAGAAGCAAGAAAGTGAAAAAGAGAAAAGACGGACAAGTAAATTAAATTTGTATGAACTAATAAGGAGAAAATGGGGAAAAGAGAAAAGACGGACAAGTAAATAAAATTTGTATGAATTAAAAAGGAGAAAATGGGGAAAAGAGAAAAATTAAAGGTTGAGAACAGAAGGAAGAGGAGGGGAGGAAGAAATGTACAGATGGGAAAGACTTAATAGTGAAGTAAAATAACAATTATCAACAATAATAAAAAATATAATGATGATAATGATAATATTAGAAGTAATATAATAACAATAATGAAAACAGTAACAATTATAACAATGGTAATAATAGTAATAACTTTAACAATAACAAAAATAATAAAAATTATTATAATGATGATTATGAGAGTAGTAGTAGTAATAATAATAATAATAATAATAATAATAATAATAATAATAACAACAATAATAACAAAAAATAAATAAATAAATAATACTAACAACAAATATAGTAATGATGATGATAATAGCAACAGTAATAGTAACAGCAACAGCAACAGTAATAATAATTGTATTTATAATACTAACGATAACACTTTTAATAATAATAATAATAATAACAGCAGAATAAAAACAATAATAATAATAACAACAACAATCATAACAATAACAAATAACAACTCCATGAAACAAAACAATAACAAAAATAACATATCAACACCACCTAGATAAACAAAAACATCATCAAAAGCCCACCATTTTTGTCCAAGGTCATGGTGTATTTTTCCTCGATGCCTTCCATAGTCGCAATCATGAAGAAATTATGGAAAAGAGGGTTGTCTGTCATCTTGGTGAAAAATGCAGGGCTAATGACCACGTCGTAGGCCAAGCACACCTCACCAGCTGTTGGGAAAGTCGAAACTCTGGATTAAGATAATAAAATGTGTTTGGTATCTTTTATCAAGATAATGATCCTGTGTCTGGTATCTTTTATCAAGATAATGATCCTATGTCTGGTATCTTTTATCAAGATAATGATCCTGTGTCTGGTATCTTTTATCAAGATAATGATCCTGTGTCTGGTATCTTTTATCAAGATAATGATCCTGTGTCTGGTATCTTTTATCAAGATAATGATCCTGTGTCTGGTATGATAATGATCCTGTGTCTGGTATCTTTTATCAAGATAATGATCCTGTGTCTGGTATCTTTTATCAAGATAATGATCATCTTTATCAGATAATGATCCTGTGTCTGGTATCTTTTATCAAGATAATGATCCTGTGTCTGGTATCTTTTATCAAGATAATGATCCTGTGTCTGGTATCTTTTATCAAGATAATGATCCTGTGTCTGGTATCTTTTATCAAGATCCTGTGTCTGGTATCTTTTATCAAGATAATGATCCTGTGTCTGGTATCTTTTATCAAGATAATGATGTCTGGTATCTTTTATCAAGATAATGATCCTGTGTCTGGTATCTTTTATCAAGATAATGATCCTGTGTCTGGTATCTTTATCAAGATAATGATCCTATCTTTATCAAGATAAATGATCCTGTGTCTGGTATCTTTTATCAAGATAATGATCCTGTGTCTGGTATCTTTTATCAAGATAATGATATCTTTTATCAAGATAATGATCCTGTGTCTGGTATCTTTTATCAAGATAATGATCCTGTGTCTGGTATCTTTTATCAAATAATGATCCTGTGTCTGGTATCTTTTATCAAGATAATGATCCTGTGTCTGGTATCTTTTATCAAGATAATGATCTGTGTCTGGTATCTTTTATCAAGATAATGATCCTGTGTCTGGTATCTTTTATCAAGATAATGATTGTGTCTGGTATCTTTTATCAAGATAATGATCCTGTGTCTGGTATCTTTTATCAAGATAATGATCCTGTGTCTGGTATCTTTTATCAGATAATGATCCTGTGTCTGGTATCTTTTATCAAGATAATGATATCTTTATCAAGATAATGATTTGTGTCTGTATCTTTTATCAGATAATGATATGTCTGGTATCTTTTATCAAGATAATGATTGTGTCTGGTATCTTTTATCAAGATAATGATCCTGTGTCTGGTATCTTTTATCAAGATAATGATCTGGTATCTTTTATCAAGATAATGATCTGGTATCTTTTATCAAGATAATGATGTGTCTGGTATCTTTTTATCAAGATAATGATGTGTCTGGTATCTTTATCAAGATAATGATCCTGTGTCTGGTATCTTTTATCAAGATATCTTTATGATAATGATCCTGTGTCTGGTATGATAATGATCATCTTTTATCAAGATAATGATTGTGTCTGGTATCTTTTATCAAGATAATGATCCTGTGTCTGGTATCTTTTATCAAGATAATGATCCTGTGTCTGGTATCTTTTATCAAGATAATGATCAAGATAATGATCCCCTGTGTCTGGTATCTTTTATCAAGATAATGATCCTGTGTCTGGTATCTTTTATCAAGATAATGATCCTGTGTCTGGTATCTTTTATCAAGATAATGATCCTGTGTCTGGTATCTTTTATCAAGATAATGATCCTGTGTCTGGTATCTTTTATCAAGATAATGATCCTGTGTCTGGTATCTTTATCAAGATAATGATCCTGTGTCTGGTATCTTTTATCAGATAATGATCTGTGTCTGGTATCTTTTATCAAGATAATGATCCTGTGTCTGGTATCTTTTATCAAGATAATGATCCTGTGTCTGGTATCTTTATCAAGATAATGATCCTGTGTCTGGTATCTTTATCAAGATAATGATCCTGTGTCTGGTATCTTTTATCAAGATAATGATCCTGTGTCTGGTATCTTTTATCAAGATATGATCCTGTGTCTGGTATCTTTTATCAAGATAATGATCCTGTGTCTGGTATCTTTATCAAGATAATGATCCTGTGTCTGGTATCTAATTATCATCAAGATAATGATCCTGTGTCTGGTATATTTTATCAAGATAATGATCTGTGTCTGGTATCTTTTATCAAGATAATGATCCTGTGTCTGGTATCTTTTATCAAGATAATGATCCTGTGTCTGGTATCTTTTATCAGATAATGATCTGTGTCTGGTATGATAATGATCCTGTGTCTGGTATCTTTTATCAAGATAATGATTGTGTCTGGTATCTTTTATCAAGATAATGATTAGATAATGATCCTGTGTCTGGTATCTTTTATCAAAGATAATGATCCTGTGTCTGGTATCTTTTATCAAGATAATGATCCTGTGTCTGGTATCTTTATCAAGATAATGATTGTGTCTGGTATCTTTTATCAAGATAATGATCCTGTGTCTGGTCTTTTATCAGATAATGATTGTGTCTGGTATCTTTTATCAGATAATGATCCTGTGTCTGGTATCTTTATCAAGATAATGATCTGGTATCTTTTATCAAGATAATGATTGTGTCTGGTATCTTTTATCAAGATAATGATCCTGTGTCTGGTATCTTTTATCAAGATAATGATCCTGTGTCTGGTATCTTTTTATCAAGATAATGATCCTGTGTCTGGTATCTTTATCAAGATAATGATCCTGTGTCTGGTATCTTTTATCAAGATAATGATCCTGTCTGGTATCTTTTATCAAGATAATGATCTTTTATCAAGATAATGATCTGTGTCTGGTATCTTTTATCAAGATAATGATCCTGTGTCTGGTATCTTTATCAAGATAATGATCTGTGTCTGGTATCTTTTATCAAGATAATGATCCTGTGTCTGGTATCTTTTATCAAGATAATGATCCTGTGTCTGGTATCTTTTATCAAGATAATGATCCTGTGTCTGGTATCTTTATCAAGATAATGATCCTGTGTCTGGTATCTTTTATCAAGATAATGATCCTGTGTCTGTATCTTTTATCAGATAATGATCCTGTGTCTGGTATCTTTTATCAAGATAATGATCCTGTGTCTGGTATCTTTTATCAGATAATGATCCTGTGTCTGTATCTTTTATCAAGATCATGATGATCTAGATAATGATCCTGTGTCTGGTATCTTTTATCAAGATAATGATCCTGTGTCTGGTATCTTTAATCAAGATAATGATCCTGTGTCTGGTTCTTTTATCCTATATCCTGTGTCTGGTATCTTTTATCAAGATAATGATCCTGTGTCTGGTATCTTTTATCAAGATAATGTGTCTGGTATCTGATGATCCTGTGTCTGGTATCTTTTATCAATAATGATCCTGTGTCTGTATCTTTATCAAAGATAATGATCCTGTGTCTGGTATCTTTATAAGATAATGATCTGGTATCTTTTATCATAATGATGTGTCTGGTATCTTTTATCAAGATAATGATCTGGTGTCTGGTATCTGATAATGATCAAGATAATGATTGTGTCTGGTATCAAGATAATGATTGTGTCTGGTATCTTTTATCAAGATAATGATCCTGTTGTCTGGTATCTTTTATCAAGATAATGATCCTGATCTTTATCAAGATATCCTGTGTCTGTATCTTTTATCAAGATAATGATCTGTGTGGTATCTTTTTATCAAGATAATGATGTGTCTGGTATCTTATCAAGATAATGATCCTGTGTCTGGTAATCTCAAGATAATGATCCTGTGTTATCTTTATCAAGATATGATCCTGTGTCTGGTATCTTTTATCAGATAATGATCCTGTGTCTGGCATCTTTTATCAAGATAATGATCCTGTCTGGTATCTTTATCAAGATAATGATCCTGTGTCTGGTATCTTTTATCGATAAACCTGTGTCTGGTATCTTTTATCAAGATAATGATCCTGTGTCTGGTATCTTTTATCAAGATAATGATCCTGTGTCTGGTATCTTTATTCAAGATAATGATCCTGTGTCTGGTATCTTTTAAGATAATGATCCTGTGTCTGGTAATCTTTTATCAAGATAATGATCTGTGTCTGGTATCTTTATCAAGATAATGATCCTGTGTCTGGTATCTTTTATCAAGATAATCTTGTGTCTGGTATCTTTATCAAGATAATGATCCTGTGTCTGGTATCTTTTATCACTGGTATCTTTTATCAAGATAATGATCCTGTGTCTGGTATCTTTTATCAAGATAATGATTGTTTGTCTGGTATCTTTTATCAAGATAATGATTGTGTCTGGTATCTTTTATCAAGATAATGATCCTGTGTCTGGTATCTTTTATCAAGATAATGATCCTGTGTCTGGTATGATCAAGATAATGATCCTGTGTCTGGTATCTAATGATCCTTAATCAAGATAATGATCCTGGGTATCTTTTATCAGATAATGATCCTGTGTCTGTGATAATGATCCTGTGTCTGTATCTTTTATCAAGATAATGAATCTTTATCAAGATAATGATTGTGTCTGGTATCTTTTTATCAAGATAATGATCTGTGTCTGGTATCTTTATCAAGATAATGATCCTGTGTCTGTATCTTTTATAGATAATGAATCTTTTATCACTGTGTCTGGTATCTTTTATCAAGATAATGATCCTGTGTCTGGTATCTTTTATCAAGATAATAATCCAAGATAATGATCCTAGCTGGTATCTTTTATCAAGATAATGATCCTGTGTCTGGTAATCAAGATAATGATCCTGTGTCTGGTATCTTTTATCAAGATAATGATTGTGTGTCTGGTATCTTTTCAAGATCATATCAAGATAATGATCCTGTGTCTGGTATCTTTTATCAGATAATGATCCTGTGTCTGGTATCTTTTATCAAGATAATGATCCTGTGTCTGGTGAAGATAAATCAAGATAATGATCCTGTGTCTGGTATCTTTTATCAAGATAATGATTGTGTCTGGTATCTTTTATCAAGATAATGATCCTGTGTCTGGTATCTTTTATCAAGATAATGATCCTGTGTCTGGTATCTTTTATCAAGATAATGATCCTGTGTCTGGTATCTTTTATCAAGATAATGATCCTGTGTCTGTATCTTTTATCAGATAATGATCGTGTCTGGTATCTTTTATCAAGATAATGATCCTGTGTCTGTATCTTTTATCAAGATAATGATCCTGTGTCTGGTATCTTTTATCAAGATAATGATCCTGTGTCTGGTATCTTTTATCAAGATAATGATCCTGTGTCTGGTATCTTTTATCAATAATTGATCCTGTGTCTGGTATCTTTTATCAAGATAATGATCCTGTGTCTGGTATCTTTTATCAAGATAATGATCCTGTGTCTGGTATCTTTTATCAAAATAATGATCCTGTGTCTGGTATCTTTATCAAGTTAATGATCCTGTGTCTGGTATCTTTATCAGATAATGTGTCTGGTATCTTTTATCAAGATAATGATCCTGATCTGATAATGATCCTGTGTCTGGTATCTTTTATCAAGATCAGATAATGATCTGGTATCTTTTATCAGATAATGATCCTGTGTATCTTTTATAGAGATATCTTTAGATCATCTGGTAATGATCTGGTATCTTTTATCAAGATAATGATCGTGTGTATGATAATGATAACTCTTTTATCAAGATAATGATCGTAGATATCTTTTATCTGTAATAGATAAACGAATCTTTAAAATGGGGTAACTTAAAATCTAATCCGGATCTATTACTGTGTGTTAGTTTGATTTTATTAACACATTTTATGATGACATAAATGACCAAGTAACCAAGGTGAAGGGATTTTAATTGTCTAATAAGAATCCTAACAATACCAGGATGAAAATACACACACACACACACACACACACACACACACACACACACACACACACACTAACACACGCACGCGGCACCTACACTTATCTTTCTCCTCGTGCAGCTGGCCAATGGACATGGGGACGCGAAAATCTGACGGCTTGTCAGATTCCAAAATGGCGATCAGTTCTTGGTCGGTGATGTCTTCCGGGGCTGGGATGGCCTCGGAGGTGCAGACGTTGATGAACACTTTCTTTTTATCTTCATTTCGTGTCTTGACACAAATTCCTGTTGGGAAAAGATGAAAAATACATGAAATACGAAGGGAATTCAAGAGACAGCACAGGCGTAAGAAAAGGGGGCAGGGGGGGGGGCGACAGCCACCGCCCCAACCCCCCCCCCACTCCTCAACTTTCGAGGACATTCCTTGTAGACAAACAGATCAATTCCTTAGTCATTCAGTTGTAGAGAACACCGGCCCCCTGCAAGTGAGAGGGCAGGTACAACCGAGTCTGGTGTTCAAAATGAAATAACCATTATGTCAAGTATTATCAATACAAAAATATCTGACATTCAAGTGCACAAATTAATGAGTTTCTCTTTTGAAGTACTAAAATCCAGGAGCTTCCGGGGGCTTCGCTCCCTGGTCCCACACCGGGGCGCTGCCCCTGGACCCCGCCAGGAACCTGCAGCCCCAAGGACCCTAGACTATTTGGGGTGGGGTGGGGGAACCTACTTTGCCCTACCGCACTTCGAAATACTCTTCAAAGCCTATGGACAGAAAAGAATATAAGATTTAATACTCTTCTTCGGTTTATCACACAAACTGTTAGTCTCGAGACTTTCCAAGATGAAAAATTGCTTCGGATGTTGTAAGACAAAATGTAGAAAAATCCCGATCATCTTCATAACGAACTTTTTCCAGAAATTTGGCGACTTACTTGGGCCCTCTCCCCATCATCTAAATTCTAATTATTACAACACCAAAGGTTTTACTTGTATCGTATCCTGGTATTTCTAAAATGTCTTTTCATCAATTCCTTTCCCGCCTTTTCGCATTGGTAGTTCCGTTCTTTTTCAATAACAAGCGAAAATGAAAATGAATTACCGAGATCTGCTGCTCTTGCATGTATAAATACCTAAGGGTATAACGCTTATCTTGAATTCGTCTTTTTTAAATGGAATTTTCTCCTCCGACATCTAATAATCTTATAAATATACTCAAGAGAGTGATTACAAAATCTTTAAAAAAATACGTTTTCCAAAAAGAGAAAGAAAGAAAGAAAAAAAAGAATAACGTGATAATTTCAAGTGAGACAATAAGTATGTACATCAATTTAAGTAACATCAATAGGTGTCACTGTCATAAAAGTATACGGGATGTGTGCGAGTCCTCACACGAGCCGCCGCCGCCGCCTCGCTAACACCCCTCGCTCCCGGGCATTGGCGTTGCGTTCATATAATGGAGAAGAGAAGAGGAGCAAAAAGGGATGAAAACTGAAGTGGAAGTGAGGGTGACTAGCGAACTTTATGAACTGAATGAATTAAACTCTAGAGCAGGGGTGTTCACCTTCAAACTCTTCGCGGGCTCATTTTCTTTTCGCCTACCATCTTGAGGGCTAACAAAGGTTCAAACCAGGCTTTCTAGGATTAAACAAATTGTATATGACGGAATTTCCCTTCATGGCGATCATGATTTCACAGGTTAATAATTTTTGTCACCCTGCAGGCCACGCATGATCATTCCAGGGGACACAATTAGCTCGCGGACCATAACTATGACAACCCTGGGCTATTTCCTTCCTCGCAAAAAAAGTACAAAAAGAAAACAAAACTGGAAGAGTGTAAGTAATAATCTTAAAAGACGAAGGACTGACTTAATCAAGCAAAACGGCCGACTGTAAGTCTGAAATAGCAAATGTGCAGCGGGCCGCCCAGCGTGATTGACACCCCTGCTCTAGAGAATATCTTTGATAGGACAATGTTGTCTAGCGGTGGAAAAGCTTCCTAGTCAATCAGCTACGTGATTCCATTGAAATTACAGCTACGTGATTCCATTGAAATTAAACTGTCAGAGTGGAAACGCAATAAAAACTTGACGCTTCGAGAGGCAGTGTTTCATTTCATTGGTGTGTACACGTTAGTCTATGTTCATGGGATGCCATCAGTACGATATATTTTTAGAGTACTAAATTCATCTAAATCTAAATTTATATGTATTAGTGTTGGGTGTGGTTATATGGAAGGTTTTGAAAAGAGGTAACTAAAATGCCTAATGCCTATTCATGAATTTAAGTGAATTGAGTAGATCTAAGGTAACTTGTATATCGATTAAATACTCTTTTGCCAAAGGGTAGCCAAGTGATCCTGTTAACCTGATGAAAATAATATCAAAACAAATACATACATACAAAGACACATGTCATTAGTGCTCTTAGTCAACAAAACCACAAAAGTGACTGGTTCAAAATGCCAGTGAATTCTGAGAACTTTAAAGAACACATTTCTTTTTCGAGAAGTTGCTATGTAATATGAATTGTCATGATTTCACACACAATCCTGAGAGAAACGTGCGCGAGAGAGAGCGAGAGCGAGAGAGAGAGAGAGAGAGAGAGAGAGAGAGAGAGAGAGAGAGAGAGAGAGAGAGAGAGAGAGAGAGAGAGAGAGAGAGAGAGAGAGAGAGGAGGGGGGGGGGGGAGACGGAGAGGGAGATAGCGAAGCACTGTGGAGAGTAAGCAAGAGCATGCAATTCCAAGCAATGTTCTTTCATCAACATCACCCCATCAGTGTAGCCGCGTCCCCCAGACCTCATGCACTGCCACCAAGCAAGCATTCTTTCCCCTCGGTGCCCATGTTCCGAGGTGACCCTGACCTACCAAGCCTTGCCATCAGCTGATGTCTGTAAACAATAACTCTGCCGCCCCAACGGACACTGACCCTCGACCGTAGAAGCGTGGCTATTGTTAATGTAATTGGAAATATTGATCTCATGACGCATTCCCTTACATGCACGACGGAAATATCATACTAACTATAATAATTTCTTCTTCTTCTAAATCTGCGATCAACTGTGTACACTATTTTAACTTTCCATGTACACACAAGCTTGTAAATGAACGAATTTGTAATGTTAAAATTCAAAGGGCATCCGAACAGTATTGATTTCTCCATTGTAAATACAGCAATAAAACTTAAACAATAGTCACCCATACCATATTCCAGTATAAGACCAATCAAGACGACAAATAATACCCTCTTGACGAACATAAAGAGAAAAATGGTGACGTAATAACATCTCAAGGGGCGTAGACTAATCTAATGAAGGTAACAAGAGGCATCCGCTTTATCAATATTGATAGCAACAACAGCAACATCGGCAACTTTATAAAAGTAATAATAATGATACTAATGATATTGATAACAGCGGTCGTTATTGTCATTATCATAACCATAACATAACATAATAATAACATTGAAACTAATACTATTACTACCACCACTTCTGATAATAAGACCAACATTGAATGGCACTAAGATGATGAAAATGAGTAGATGTAGCAATAGGAGGGGGAGGAGGGGGCGGAGGGGGATGCTGATGAGGAGGGAGAGGAGGGGTAAGGGAAGGAAGAGGGGAAGGAGAAGGAGGAAGGGAAAGGAAGAGGAGGAAGGGGAAAGAAGAGGAGGAAGAGGAGAGGAGGAGGAGGAAAGGGGAGGAAGAGGAGGAGGAGCAAGGGGAAGGAAGAGGAGGAATAGGAGACGAGGAGGAGGAATCGGGTGAGGTAGAGGAGGAGGAGGAGGAATGGGGTGAGGTAGAGGAAGAGGAGGAGGAAGAGAAAAATAATAAGAAAAAAAGAAGAAAGAACATCGACAACAACAAAAAAAGAAAAAAAAGAAGAGGAGGCCAACACTCAAAATGACTCACAGATAATACAGCGCCGGTAACCATGACGCAGCAAGCCTAATGATGGCGACCTCCGAACGCACTCCGAATAAACAATACAATAACCCGAAAAGGAAATGTATGATACAGCACCATCGATAATAGGAGTAACGCCCAGAGCTATGGTCAAACCTCTAAGACGGTGATGGGAATAGGATGATGGTGATGATGGTATAATAATGATGATAGTATGAATGAAGGAGACGATGAGGATGGCAGAGATAGTTAAAATAAAGCGAAAAAATATGAGGATATACATGGGATAGAGAGAGAGGGACAGGGGAAGGGAGGAATGGGGGGAGAGAGAGAAGGAAAGTGAGGGAGAGGATAAAGAGAGAGAGAGAGGGGATAAAGAGAGAGAAAGAAAGAGAGAGAGGGGATAAAGAGAGAGAGAGGATAAAGAGAGAGGGAGATAGAGGGAGAGAGGGATAGAGAGAGAGAGAGAGAGAGAGAGAGAGAGAGAGAGAGAGAGAGAGAGAGAGAGAGAGAGAGAGAGGAGAGAGAGAGAGAGAGAGAGAGAGAGAGAGAGGAGAAAGAGAGAGAAAAATAGAGAGAGAAAGAGAGAGAGATAGAAATAGAGAAAAATAGAAAGAGAGAGAGAGAAATAGAGAGAGAATAGAGAGAGATAGAAAGAGAGAGAAGAGAGAGAGAGAGAGAGAGAGAGAGAGAGAGAGAGAGAGAGAGAGAGAGAGAGAGAGAGGAGAGAGAGAGAGAGAGAGAGAGAGAGAAATAGAAAGAGAGAGAGACACCAACAAAAGTAACAAAAGAAATCAAGTGAATAATATATATATATATATATATATATATATATATATATATATATAATAAATAATAATAATAATAATAATAATAATAATATAAAAAAAAAACAACAAAGGTCCACTTGCTTCATCACCTCGACACTGCAGCGAATGCAGAGAAGCGAGGAAATCATCATGACTTGGAATTTTCATTTGTTTAGAACTGAATTTGTCAATTTGTGAAAAGGTCAAAGACAGAGAGGAGGACACAGTGGGGAGGGAGGAGGGAGAGAGGGAGAGAGAGGGAGAGAGGGAGAGAGGGAGGGAGAGAGAGAGAGAGAGAGAGAGAGAGAGAGAGAGAGAGAGAGAGAGAGAGAGAGAGAGAGAGAGAGAGAGGGGAGGGAGGGAGGGAGAGGGAGAGAGAGGGAGAGGGAGAGGAGAGGAGAGAGAGAGAGAGAGAGAGAGAGAGAGAGAGATGGAGGGAGGGAGTGAAAGAGAGAGGGAGGGAGGAGGAGGGGAGAGAGAAAGGGAGGGAAGGAGGAGGAGAGGAGGGAGGGAGGAGAGGAGAGAAAGGGAGGGAGGAGGAGGGAGAGAGAGAAAGGGAGGGA